TAACAACAGTTGCCAATCTTTTTTTTTCCTGCTTTTTCTCCCCAAGTCCCCCAGTACATAGTTGTATATTTTAGTTGTGCGTCCTTCTAGTTGTGGCATGTGGGATGCTGCCTCAGCATGGCCTGATGAGCAGTGCCATGTCCGTGCCCAGGATCCGAACCAGCCAAACCCTGGGCCGCCAAAGCCGAGCGCACGAACTTAACCACTCGGCCACGGAGCCGGCCCCTGTCATGTTCTTGACAGTAATTTTTTTCCCTTTCTGAAAGTTGTGGGAGTGGAGAGGTGCTGGCATATGTGCCCACGTGTTTCCTGCCTCCATGCTAATATTTTTTCATTTTATAGTTGGAGAAACTGAATCACATATCTGGTAAGTATTTGATCTAAGATTATAGAGTTAAACTTTGGTGCCAGGACAAGAACCTGGATGACAAAATACTTTGTGATTCCACTGCAATTCTAGAATCTTCTTCAGGAAAACATAGTTCCTCTTGTTTTTAACTGATTATCCTATATTTGTTGTATTATCCAGATTCCCTAACATTTTTTAGTGTGTTCTCTCACTGATCTACGTTGAGGGAATAACCTATGCAAAGGCACTGTGGTGGGTGGGAGTATGGCTGGTTTTGAGGGACCAAAAAACCAAGATGGCTAAAACAGAGGGATGAAAGCATGGGTCAGGGGTGGGGGAGAGGACAGTGGAGAGGCCGTTAGGGGCCAGACTATACAGGACCTTATAAATTATCATATTGTCCACACAAATAATCCATAACTAGCCTATGAATCAAAATTGGGGTAAGTATTAGGAGCCTGAGTGAGGATTATAAACCAGGAAGGCCTTAGAAGGCGTTCTGGAGAAGCATGGGTTTCAGTACAGACTTATATCTTTTTAGAACAAAGAAGATACATTAAATACATCCAGAATGCATTTTCATCAAAATTTCAAAGAGATATTCAGTTGCAAATTAGCAGGTCAACATGACCCTGATGTCATGAAAGGGCCTAGCCTGGGTGTTACCAATGGGGCATTGGAGGGGAAGCAGCATTCTTCTCTCAAGAGAGTGAGTTCTTTACTTTAACGGGTAAGTAGATGTACAATGTACGTATGGCCATAAGTCAGGACTTTTAGTTCAAGCTGAATCAGTTTTGAACTTGAATAGTTCCCCCATATAGCTAAATGTGTGAAAATTTCTTGTCAATATATAATTATTAATCTTAATTTTTAAAATTTTGTAAACTTGATTTCTTTTCATTGTATTTTTAATGGTTTTCTTCAATTTAAGGTAGTAGCATATTACCTTAATTGCTATTAACACATTTATTAGTACTTATTAGTATTAACATATTTAATAAAGTGTGTAAAAGTGAGGAAAATTTTCAAATTTATTAAAAACCTTTTTTTAAATAGTAAGTACAGGTGAGTGTATAGTACACATGGGACGTGACAAATTCATGGAGGTGGTATTTGAAGGTGTAAAGTTTGGGGAACACTGGTGTGCTGTCCCTTGTCCCCTGGCTTCCGGTTGGATTTGGCCAACAGCAGGCACCGCAGGAGATGGAAAGGGGGAGGAGTGTGAGAGTAGGCACTTCACTCCCCCACCTCCCTCCCTACAGGGTTCCTGTGGGTTCCCCTCCGCCAAAGGGCACAGCTCCCGCTGGCAGCCGTCCCTTACAGCTACAGGTACTCTCCCCAGGTTCCAGCAACCCCTTCCTCGCCTCACCTCTTCAGAGCCAGGTGTGGCAATACCTCCCTCCTGCTGCTGGCACTGGGACACAGCCCATCCCTTGCTGGGTTTCCTTAACCTTGCCCACACCCTCGTAAATCTCTTATTAAACTCTCCTCAGTTATTTGAACACACTATCATTTCCTGCCAGGACTCTGACCGATATACCTGATCTGGTGGAAAGCATGAATTTTGAAGTCAGATAGAAGTAGATTTCAATCCTGGCCAGCCACTTACTAGCTGTGTGACCGTGGACAAGTCCAGGTAGATAAGCACAATAGTCATCACCCCAGAAAGACTCTACCCTGGGAGGTGAGGCACATCTATCTCACCATGATAGCCCCAGCTCTTGGGGCAGTGTTTAGTACTTAGTAGGTGCTCAAGAAAATATTTTGCATAGATAGATTTCTCTATACCTTATAAATGAGATCCAGAAGGACTGCAAGAGATCAACTTGTCAACATTCTTTCTTTGCAGATGATGTCCAAGGATAAGGCGTGACTTGTGCAGGTAGCGAGGCTCAGACATGCTCTTTGATGGAGGAAACACAAGAAAGGTAAAAAAGGGAAGAAAATAGGTCAAGGGAGTCCCTGCCAAGGGTGCTCTGCCCCCACCCCACATCCTTGCAGAGCCCATCTCCTTCCCCTTGTCACCCCACCTCAGAAGACATTCCCTTCTGAGGGAGGATTCTGTTAGATAGCATGTCTTCTTTCCAACAAAGAGGAGGCAACAGGAGGGAAGGCACAGAGAGGGCCTGAGGGTCCCATGCAGAAGACAGTGAAGGAGCGCCACATGGGGACAGGGTTTATTCGAGACAGGGCTGGACGAGCAGGGAAGCCATGGATGTCATGAGCCCTGAAAGTCAAGAAGAGGTGATGCAATGATGTGCTATTGTCCTAGGGCTACCAACGCAAATTACTACCTACTGGGTCGCTTACAACAACAGAAATGCATTTTCTCACGGTTCTGGAGTCTGCAATTAACTGTGGGCAGGGCCATGCTCCCCCAGAGGCTCTGGGAGAGAATCTTTACTCCCTTCTTCCAGCTTCTGGTGGCTCCAGCCTTTCTTTCCTAGGCTTGGCCACAGAACTCCAATCTCTGCCTCTGTCTTCCCATGGTCTTCTCCTCTGTGTGTATGTATCTTCTCTTTTTTCTCTAATAAAGTCACTGTCATTGGAATTAGGGCCCACCCAGATAATCCAAGATGATCTTATCTGGAGAGTCTTAATTAGGGGTTTGTAAAGACCCTTTTTCCAAATAAGGACACATTTACAGGCTCCAGGGGTTAGGCTATGGATGTATCTTTTGGGGACCACCATTCAACCCACTATGCATAGGATAGCACACAGTACAAATGTTAGTCAGATTTTAAGCAAAAGAATTGCTTGTTGAGCTCTTCATTTCCTGTATGATGATGAAGCTGGAAGCAGTGTGCAGAGAGGTGATAAAGACAGAAAGAGGGCTTTTGGTTGAAGCTCTTGCCAGAATAACCTATGAGATGAAGGCATGGACCAAAGCATTCACTGCAGCAAACAAGAGAAGACAATGCATATGAAAGACCTTATATAATAGCTATCATCCTTGGTTATTTGAAGTTCTCTGCAACAATATGGAAAGTGCACAGAATTTTAAGTTATAAGCGCCAGGTATAAGCCCCAGCTTGTACATTGACTAGCTGTGTACATTTGGTCAAGTCCTCAGTTTTAGTCTCCTCATCTATATATTGGGGGTAATGGCAAAACAAGCTTACTGCACAGATTTATGGCAAAGTTCAAATTAGACACCATATCGAAAGCAGTATAGGCTGGTAGTTGAGTGTCCAGGCCATGACCTCCGTCCGCCTGATCTGAAATCCTGGCTCTGCCACGGGCTAGCTAAGTGAGTTTGGGCAAGTTCCTTTCTATTCCTTGGTTTTCCCATGCATAAAGTGTGAATGATAATAATGACCTAACTCATGGAGTTTTTGTTGGAAGGTTAAATGAGATGATCCCAATAAAGCACTTACATCTAGCACATGGTGAGCACTGAGTAAATATTATCCTATTATGGGAAAGAGCTTTGTAAACATCTAAGTTCTATGGCAGTGACTCACAGTTCTGACTGCACATGGGCATCTCTTGAAGCTTTGGAAAAATAAAGATGCCTGGGCCTTGCCCTAGATTAAATGAATCAGGATCCATAGTTTTTAAACCTTCTCAGATGATTCTGCTGCACAAAGAGAAATTCACCATGGCAGGATGTGTTAGTGGGAGCCATTTCCTAACAACATCCATGAGGAGACCAAACATAGTCTATACCTCAGGGAGATCATAGAGTGGCCTGAAGCGACCTGGGCTCCATGTCTCTGATTTTTGTGTGTGAGGAAGATTGGCCCTGAGCTAACATCTGTTGCCTATCTTCTTCTTTTTGCTTGAGGAAGACTGTCGCTGACCTAACATCCATGCCAATCTTCCTCTATTTTATGTGGGATGCTGCCGTAGTGTGGCTTGACGAGTGGTGCTAGGTCCACGACTGGGATCTGAACCTGCGAACCCCAGGCTGCTGAAGTGGAACACACGAACTGAACCGCTATGCCACCAGGCTGGCCCCTCACCCCTCCTTCTTTTTTTTCAAAGTACTCATATAGCACTTAATATATGCCAAATACCATTAATCACTTTGTATGTATTGACTCATTTAGTACCCACAGCATCCTTATGAAGCATGAATTATTGTTATTACAGATAAGCAAACTGAGGCACAGAGAGGTTAAGCAGCTCAGCACAAGTCACCCAGTTAGAAAGTGGTAGAGCCAGCATTGGGACTGCAGTCTTCTGGCTCAAACAACTATACCAAACAGACTCTCTCAAAGCTACAGTGTCCCATAAAGCATGTAACCTCTCTAAACCCGTTTCCTAATCTGGAAAATGAGGATTGTGACATTACGTACTTCACTGGGGACTCGTGGAAATTAAGTGAGACGCTGCAGGGAAAGCACTCAGCAATGTATTTAGTACCCACTAAGCACTAAAAGTCGGCCATTATGATCAATAATTTAAACATTATCACTAGTTATTCAGTTTCATGGAAATACAATGCAGTTTGCAACTTCAGCCCAACTGCGAATCTGAGCCTGTTTATCCAGCTGCTGGGACAGGGCTGCTGATTCCAGACAGCGTGGGATCTGCCACCTGCACTTCCCCCCCCCCCCCCCCCCCCCCCCCCCCCCCC